GAGGTTGAAGGAACAGAGCAAAGAAAAGGTTTAATTACAGTTCCTGTGTATAACATTATAAATATTATGGCATGGATAAAGAAGTCAAGATAAGACTTGAAATGAAAAAAAATACTGATGAGAAAATCACCTTAGAAACAATATCCTGAGGCAGAAGGTATTGATGATGAATAGCAATAATATTTGATCTCAGATAGTTCCAGCAAGAGTTGCAGAGATTATGTTCATCATGGTATTACTCACTTCTCTGGAGTTTATTAGGAGAATTCTAATCCAGGCGACTATCCAACTCTGGCTCAAGTGGTATGATCTGAAGGCCAAGATTTGCTGTACTTTCTATCATGGAAGAATGCATCTGATATATATTTTTAATTAGAATAATATACACAATTTTGTAGAAGAAAAGTACTATAGAAGGAACTGTTACTGAAATTGTATTAAAAATGCAGTTCTAGAAAGTGAAAGATTTGCATTTTTAAGGATGCTACAGGGTATTCCAGCAACCCCTTGAAGTTAAAAAGAACAATATTGGAAAGAGCCTTTTTCATCAACCCCAATTCCAAAACAAACTTTAAACCCACAGTATGTTCTCCATGCCAAGAGAACAGTCTCTCAATTGCTATACTACTTTACTACTAGCTTTACTACTGCTATACTAGCCTTACCATTTAATTTACTTTGTATTATATTTCTATAGTATATATAATTTATACTATACTATTATTGTTATCTAGCTTTGCTACTTTATTTTATTTTGCTTTATACACTATTTTTTGTTTTCTTTTACAAAATATACTTTTATTTCACTTTTATATTAACTTGCTACTTTATTTTTACTACTGCTATACTAGCTTTACTACTACTGTACTAGCTTTTCTACTGCTGTAGTAAGACATACCAGACAGCATAGAGATGATAACACTTCACTGTAGAAAATATAGGTGCCATCCTGCCATCTCAGTATGAAACTGTACATGACAGCTTGGAAAGGATGTTTCCAATGTATGATGAGAAGGTAGAAAGAGTAAGCAAGGAAAAGGTGCTAAGATATCTACTCCAAGGTTGGATTATATGAATGAACATGAAAAGCCTAAGTATAAATCTAGATGTACATCGGGAGTTGCAGATATATACTACCTATTCTTTGCAAAGGTACTAAGTCTGTACTGTCTTTGGAAGCAGCACCTTAATGCACACTGAAGTTCCTATCCGAGGTGTGTTCACCAGTTTCATCCACATTGCTGCAATCAAGGTACATTGTATCCCACATTGGTTTTCCCTCATTACAAAATCTTAGTAGTTACAGATCATTGTAGATCCATTATTCTGCATTTATTGACACTCAATAGATGTTTCAAACACATGCTGTAATTGTCCCAAATACAGGGGTGCTTTCTGCTTCCCAAAGCCCACAGTGCATCACAGGCAATCTGAATCTCCTGTGCATACATCCCGCCTCTGAGTGGCCATTCTCTCCACCAAGAGAACCAGGCCAGAATCTGTTAAGCAAGTCCTAACCTCCCGTCAGGGTAGACAGGGCCTTAGCTACATCTGAGTGCAACCTGGCCTTTGCTGTCTGGAAACTTTGAACAAATTAAATTAATTCCAGCTAGGGGAACAACATCCCTCTCCAAGCCTGGAACAGCTGAAAGCAAGTTTTCAGGATGACAGTGAATTTCAGGACAAGAATAACCACATTTTCCCAGTGTTTGGCATACTTCTCTGAAGCTCCTGATTTAAGGAAGTCATTACCTATTCCACCTTAGTCATTCTTGTGAGCTAGGAGAATCTTTTGTTAAGATCATAGAGATGCACACAGACCTCTGGTATGTAGTCTGTAACTGAATGGTTTCAGAGGAATCCCTATACTCCTCCAGTGCCAGGCACTACACAGTTTTCCCGACTTTTCAGAGTCATAAATGGTGTTCATATAACCAGCTGATCACCACCCTAGGAGAAACAGCTCTATAACAGGAGGGATGGCTGTGGCCCCTCAGAAGTTGGCTCATGGCCTGACACCAGTTTTGTGAAGCAGGTGTGGGAAGCTTCCCAGTTTTGGTTGGTCCTCATCAAGGATGGGCATACACATGCACAGCTTTCCAGTTCTTCAATATATAGCTGTGACTGAACCATGAACATGAATCAGCTGTGAGTTGTTGCAGCAAAGACCAACTACATCCTTGGCTGTATCAGAAAAAAAAAAAAAAAAAGCCAGGAGGTCAAGGGAAGAAATCTTTCCTTTCTGTTCAGCACTTGTAAGACCATATCCAGAGTATTATGTCAGTTTTGGGCACTGCAGTATAAGGAAGAGACTGACACCCTAGAGTGTGGCCAGTGGAGGGCCACCTAGATGGCTACAGAACCTTCACAACAGTCGGAACTTGACTGAACAAAGCCCTGAGGAACCTGTTTTCTCTGAATCTGCTTTGAGCTTGTGGTTGGAGCAGATGACCCCTAAATGTCTCTTCCAACTGAAGTTATTTTATAAATCCATGACTACACGTTATTAGCATCAAACCTTCATGACTATGGAGTTTAGCACCTGAATGTATCAAATCTTTTTTCTCACATAGCTCTCTAACCAGCACCAGAAATAGGAACAGAAGCTCAAATGGATTCTCTGTATACTACAAATACAGCTCTTTGTAGTATGTCAGTGAGGGTTAGAGGTCCTTCCATAAGGGTACATAGATTGCTGGGATCTTTTGGAGGACTATAAGCTGGTCAGATGTGGTATGATAGCATCCATAGTGAAGATAGCCAAAACATGCCAAAAGCATCAGCTAGTCTCTGTACTCATGCTACGAGATGCCTTTTCTAGGATAGTCCCTGCATATGTTCACCAGCATATAGGCAGTACAGAAAGTCAGTGGACTATTAGTCAGTGGCAAAAACTGCGAGTGCAAAACCACAACAGTATTGAAATACCCACAGTATGTTTGGACAGAACATTTTTCATGTTCCGATTGTCACTAGAGGGTCAGTGTGTTTTTCAGGGCAGGTCTGCTGACAACAGCACAAGGTTGCCCAACTCCAGACACAGGTGAATCTACTGCCATTGTGACTCCTGCAATCTACTGCAGTGCAGCCTGCACACTAGAATGTGTCACAGTAAATGAGACATTAGATTGTAATTAAACTGGCAATTAAACTGTAAATAACTTCAGCAAATAACCTTTTTTTCCTCAAAGAAAACTGTCAAGGTTTCTTTAGGAGAAGTGACTGCAGGAAAGATCAAACAAGTTCTACTCAAATTAGAGTACAAGGGAAGGCAAACTAATATAAATCTTTTGGAAGAAGTCAAACATAGACATTTTTATGAACCCCTGTAAAACAAAAATGGCATGACCAGCTTCCTTAAAAAAAAAATCTATTTGGTCAGAGATAAAAAAGCTTAATAACTTTCAGAGAGAAAGCCAATTTGAAGTTAATAAAAAAACCTTACTATTGAACGGGCCTTTTTAAACTTAGGAGGAATGACTGTTGTTCTAATAGATCCCTGAGGTTATTCTGCAGATACTTTAGTATTTATGAAGGAATAATGATGATAATGCCTTTCTGTGATTATGGGGGTGGGGGAAAGTGTGGGTCATAGATTCCAGCAGAAAGAAGAAAGTTAAGGCATGAACCAGTCCACTGTAAATCTCAGAGTAACTTAATCTAGGCTCTCATCTTTAGAAAGAACATTTTAATTTAGAGTTCCAACATCAAAGACCATATGAAATCACCACTTCTTTGAAAATCCACACTTAAGGACAAGAAGATATTGGCCAAAATCCTTAAACTAATTAGTACTGAACACTCCTCTGGGCTGAACTTTTCCCTAGGATCAAATTACTGAGCTTAAATTAGCAAACTCATAGTCGGATTTCAGTGTGGGCAAGGATGAGCTTCAAGTGATGAGAATCTTTATACTTTATTATCTCCATAATAAATTGCTTTTTAGTCTGGTTTTATTCTTTTATTTTTTTTTTTTTTCTTCTAGCCATTAAATAATGTTCCTGACTAGCTACTTTTGTTCACATACAAACAAGAATTAACAACAAACCAATGACTTAGTGAGTTTTCCATTCTCAGCAGGGAACAATCTATTACTGTACTTCATCATCAGTCATAACTTTGATTACAGACTTTACCTCCATCCCTAAGAGAAAAGGACCAATCCTGATGCTTGCAGAATCAGGTCTAATGTCAAGGCTGAAGAGGATGATTGTGAATGTCCACATAATTTCTCACTTAGGATTGGCAATGTTATCACAAAATATATTCCTAGATGAACAGGAAGGAAAGAGAATAAAGAAGGTAAGAGGATTGGCAACTAAAGGAGTCAAAAGCAAAAATCTAGGAAGGTGACAGGGGATTCTCATTCACAGATTTATGAGCAGCTAGGGAAGATGATCTTGCCCCAGACTAAGATCTACTGAGTAAGGAAGAAATTATGTCCCCAGTGTGCAGCTGGAGTCTCTGTTCCCTTAAAACTTCATATTTAAACACAGGGCTTGAATTAAAATCATGCATTGCTACATTAACTTCTTTAGGTCTCTCAGATAGCTTGATTTATAGAAGATACCAGTCATAGGAACTGGGCTTTTAAGACAGCAGGTCTTACTACAGACTTGTATCTGTGAACTATGAGGAGAATTAGGTTCACTGGGTAGGACTTATTTTTTTCTTTGCTTAAGTTTTTAAAAAACAAGAAAGGTCTTTTTTTTACATTAACATATTTTAATGATTAAAAATTCAGCTTTGACTTGGATAAATATCTATCAAGGTTTGCAGAACAGACATTCCCATTGACCTTATCACCTTAACACTGTTACAGTCAGAGAGCTCTATTCCCTTCTTACAGTCATGTAATCTGAAGGCTATGGCATATGATCTAGAAAAAGCAAAGCAGGAAACAAAACACACCTTTTAGTTTGCAAACAAAACGGTGCTGCTGACAGAACTGCCAGAGGTAGCATCATATTGCATACTGGCTAAAACACAGCTGTGAAGAAATCAAAATTAAAAAATCTTTTCTCCTAATTATATTAATGATATGTAATTTCCAGTTCATTTAGCCACGTGTTTTGCAAGCTTTTAAGCCCAACAGTATTCTAAACATCAGAATTGTACAGTGACTACATTTCTGTAAGAAAGTAAATACATTTTAAAAAAAGGACAGAAAATATTATGAAATGGTGACTACTGTAAAAAAAATCCTGACACTCCTATGGTTTGGCATTTTAAATATAAATACTAGGGTAATTTCACTGTGCCATTTGAATGCAATGATCATGTGAGCTAAATAAAAATAAAGTTCCTTTAGAATTATTTATCAGGCTACTGATATTCAGAAGTAATTTCTGAAATTTAAAATACATTAACTACTTTTTTACCTGAGTAACACCATCCCATTTTTTTCTTCACAGGGATGTTCTTGGCCTGCTCTGCATAGTTAGATGGTAGAACTTGCCAAGCTTCATGGCTGGGCTGGCTTTCTGAGGGATCTTTGTTATATGTCTGCTTCACCATGAAGGCTTTGTGGAGATCTCAAATTAGAGACATGAAATTCAGGTAGCCTGAAGCCATAAGGTTTTACTCAACACTTCAGTGCTATATTCTAATACATATGTTATTCGCCCTCATTCCACTCTCAAGTTAGTGTAAATATAAGCATATTTTGCACTTAACAAGCAATTCATTCGTGTTCATCCAAAGTTACCCCTATTTTATATTGGAGACAATGGAATGTCCTCTCTTACGCAATTGTGGCAATCATGCATATCCATTTGAAAAGTCCTTGTTTAAGTCTCATCCCTGTTCTCAGAGGTAACACTGACTGCCATTACACAGGTCTTCCTTGCACTTTGTGAAGGTCAGCTCCACAAAATTAAATTAGAAATCCCACTTCCCATTCCTTTTTATTACACAGTCATCCATATGATGCATATGCTCACCAGTGATTAGAAATTTTACATGGGGAAGCCATAATGTCTAACACCAGAAGGTAAGATTGGAGACTGATAATATCTGGGCAGTCTGGAAGCTGACGGTTCAGTAGCTTGTCATTTTATATAGTAGATTCATCCTGAAAAGAAAGCCGGTACTTCAGTCCAGTTTGTCCTACCCACACTGAAAACACATTTTTTTCTGGAGTCTACCCTGAGCACCACTTTAGTGAAAACTGATGTTCAAAGTGGGGAGGAAGATTAGGGATGCAGATTTTTCAACCCAAGAGAGAATCCCTGAACTAGGGGCACCATCTACAGGGGAACAGACTGACACTGACTCAGATATGTCCTTGCTTTACACAGCTGCCATCTGTGCAAAGTATATGCAGGTTGGTTTGCCTACGCTTGAACACTCCCTCGTGAAAGAGTATTTCCCTTTTCATTTTCATTTACACTGCAACAGTGTCCAGGAGCTCCGTGCACAGAGCAGGGGCTCTCTGTGTTAGCTGCTACACAAATGCAGATTAAAAGAGACCACCTCTGCCTAAACTTAGAATCAGCGGCAGATGTATACAGATCAAACAGAAGAAAACAATGAAATCAAATGACACACAAACATCAGTCAGTGGACTAACACGTTCTTTGATTTTACCCTTTGATTTTTAGCTAGAATTAAAACCAAAACAAAATCCAAACACTTGTTCTCCACTCCCTCTATCCAACTCACAATCTCACACATTGCTCCAAAAATCATCTTCAAAGACTTCATGTGATGTTAACTGTGTACAGCTGAATAGTTACTCCAGTATTTATTAATTTTACTGAAGGTTAATTCTCACTTTTGGGACTTAGGTTTCTCACTTTGCTTACATATCTTTCATGTTCTGATGCAGAATGGGCTTCCTGGCTAAGAATGTGCCTTCTAAATACATCATCATCACCTGGGATATACTATGGAAACTTCACTGAAACCAAGAGTGGGATAATAGGGCACTAAAATGGGATTCTAAGATTTTAATTTTCAGCTGTGCACACCAGCCCTTGGATTCCCAGTCAACTGGGAAAAAAGCAGCTGAGAGCAGGAATTTCAGTTGTTTGAAGAAGTTTCCAAAATGTGTGCTTGAACTCATGCAATCGGAACTTCATTTGAAAAGCTGTCCCTTTTCCCTAATCAAAAGCCAATTCCTTTATCTTCAGGCATATAAACTACTCTCAAATTGAGTAACCTGAGGATAGAAAAGACCAAAATGAAGGAAAAATATAACATGACAATGAAGAATAAAGTAAAAGCAACTTTCTGTTAAAAATGGGTACCTGTGATCTTGTGCAACACAAGGGTAGTGAATAATTTCAGCATGACAGTCACAGTTCAATCCCTGTTAGTTTGGCATTCTATACTCTGCCTGGTAAGTAAAATGACATGCCACCATTATCATTTACTCCCTCACTGATTTGCCCTCATGATTTACCTAACTTCCCATCTTGTACATGTAGTGGCGGCAGTTGTGATACTTGGTCACAAAAAGGTTGGTGTACAAAAGAAAACCAATGGCAGCTCCAGCCCAAAGCCAGAGCCCTGACTGCTGTTTTTTATGTGCTACAACTTCTGTTGCTCCTGAATTTGTCTCAGTTCAGTGACTATCATTCTAGTATCCAGTCTTTATATGCCATAAAACTTTCAAGTACAGCCCTGAGAATATTTTGGTTTCATTGGCTTTGGCCCAGGCTTTCCCCTTCTTTATGGAGCAAGCAGGAGTCTTTTACTTTCAAAATCTAGTTTTTATGGCTCATATTGCCTTCTAATCTTGAGGTTTTATCTTGAAGCTATAGTATACAGAGAGTAAAAACCAAAAATGGCAAAGACAAACATTGTACCATTTCTGGTCTTGCTTTTTTATTCAGATTCTTCCCAGATGCTCCTGTACCTCTGGCTCAGTCAAAGTCTAAATTAAAAGCAAAGGATATGAAGGATATAACAGAGTCTAGTTCTTCACTTGTACTTAGCAGGATACCTGATGGAACTTCTGAATGGTAGACAGTTTAAAATTCCCTTTTGACGCACTAATGCACATTAAAAAACAAACCAAAATAGTTCTCAGGTTTAGAACGTAATTTCTTCTGGCTTTGCACATTTCTTCTTTATTTCTCATGATAGTGCACCTTCTTCTTCCCTGAACACAACTGTGGAAGACATAACAGTAATAATAATAATAAATGCAATGATCTATTTCAGATCAAAATTGTGAGTTTAGTGACTAGCATTTGGCTAGCACCCCAAGCATTCATCAAATGGCTCCTGAGCTCTTCTAGAACATCCCTGTCCATTCAGGACATGTATGTCATCCCTCACATTTAACACCTTCCTTTGGTTTAATTAACCACCATGACTGGCCAGTAATTACCCATCTCCTTGTGGATGCAGTAGTGAAATAAAATTTTCTCATAGGACAGGAAACATCCTTCTGGAGGAATAAGCTTTTGGGCCTGAAAGGAACTGAAAAGGAACTGAAGCAATCATGTGTGCTATAAGGAATGAAGTTTTTGCAGAAATTTTTCCATTGCAAACTACTAAGTTTAGAAAAAATTAGGTAAAATCTCTTCCACCACACTCCCAGCCCCTACCAGCCCTGTCCTTAAATTTTTTTAGTCTAGCAGAGTAGCTATGTATGGACTACCACAGTCAGGGAGTGAGAAAGTGATGGTATACTCTTCAGGGCTCTGCTAGACAGCATTTCTGTTCCTTACTATCTATACACTAAGAGAGGGCAATTGGGCTTAAATGATGATTCTTGTCTTTGCTCAAATACTAAGACAGGGTTTGATGTGTTATGCCTTGTGAATGCCAGACTCCCACAGACTACTGGCTGTGTGGCTGTTGGGAACACAGCATCAAGTCCTCATAATTATTAGCACTGAAATGTGTGGGTTTTTTAACTGACCAGATAAATGATCCTAGAGAAAATAGTCCTTGTTATCTATTGTATTGGGAGAGAAAACAGACATGTTTTTTAAATCATACAGGGTAATCTTGGCACAGTGATCACTTCTGCATATTCAGTTTAAATTATGGTGGCTCCTCCTTTCCAGTAAGAGCTGATATTTGCTTTCCTTTTCCCTCACACGACCTAATGTGCCCGTATATGAAAAATTTATATTGTGACTAACAGTCATAAGAACACATGTCTAGCAAGAATGCAATAAGAAAATGTTATTTGAACTGAACTGGGAAAGGGCCGTGATTTGAAAGGCAAATACCAGCACAGAAGTATGGGTTGGCGGGATGATTTTCTGTTGAAGACATAGCAAGTCACTTCTGAAAGATGCCTGGGAGCTTCTTGACTTGCTCAGTTACCTGCTAACAATGACATAGGGATGGACTCCTCTCTCAGTCAACATTTGTTATTTATCATATTAAGGTGTAATTTAGGTAACTCAGTCTCGTATACTGTGTGAAACCAACTAAATGGTTGTGGAATACATTACTTTTCCTTACAATAACTGTAATTCAGTACGATCCTTTACTACTGTGCATCAAGCATGGGCTAGAACCTGTACATTTGGTACCCTGTGACCAATTAAAGGTTATGGGAGGCTCTTACATAAACACCACACTATTATTTTTACAGTTTCGAAGCTAAAAACGTTTTCCTCCCGTGCCTTTGAGGGTATAGATACAACGATAATATATGCTGAGGAACAAAGAACTTTAGTCTGTTGTGTTTTTAAAAGCTGAGCTTACATCTAAATCTATTTCCATTTCCCTCTGGAACTCGAGCAGCTATTTATGTTATATTAAACATTAGACAAATAGGGTAGATCTAATTAAAAGTTGAAGAAATGTGCTTCTCTTAATTGAATTTGTTACAGTTACATTTTGCAGACCAATGTTAATCAAAGCTCCAGTTCACAGTGGATGGACCGAGGCAATTAAGTTAACCCTTGCATGTCCTTACCTCAACACGCGATACGGTCTGCTCTCGCCTAAGCCACGGACGCCCGTTACGACTCACCGCTCAGTCGCGACAGCCCGGGGCAGGCTGCCCACGGGCCC